CCGTGAACACTGGGACGGAACTCAATGGGAAAGGAAATGAAATAAATCGTTGCGTATATTAGCTGCGACATATGAATCAAGATGCGAATTTAGGTGTTCAGGCTGACGTATAACTAACTGGCCTGTATAAGATAACGGAAAAAAACACGGATTTTAAGACAGGATATTTATTTTTAAATAGAAATTTTCTAACTTTTGGGACAATATCGTCTCATAAAGAGTACATTTATAAACATGTTTAAGCCAGAATGATTTGACATTTAAATATGATTTCCCTAAGACTTTGATAGAAGAGAATGCAGTTGTTTTTTTCTTATTCTAAATATAAATCTTATTCCATTGGCAAAGTATCTCTCTTATCTGCTCAATTCAAGTAACAATGCACTTATTTTAAGAAAAATTGACTTACCTAGATTTAGAATTTTTGCAGATTTTTTTCTCAATGCCTTGAGATGACGTGTTGTGAATTGGCGCTATAAAGGTAAACTGAATTTATTGAATTGAAATAAGATGGCTCCTTCAAAAGGAAATAGTTTTTTTCTAGCAGGTTTAATTCAGGTGGAGCGATGGAGATAAAACTGAACAAGGTCTGAATTTAAAGCAGCAGGATAATAATTACGGCAGAGAATCCTCGTCCTCCACTTATTAACATGCTGCTGTTTCTCACTTCATTAATTCTACTAGTTTAATTACTTTCAGGCTGACTTTCATTATCAAAAACCAAGCACACTAGGTTGATATCTTCTCTGACAATTTGCATAAATTACAGAAATAAATAAAAACGCATTCAGTTTTGTGCCTTTAAGAGGAAAACAAATGTTACTCCAGATCACTAATAAACAATTTAAACAGGTAGAGATGAACAGGCCTCTATGGGGCTCTTTTTCTCTCCACAGAGAGCTTTATTGATCTCTGCTCATTGTCAATTTAACGCTTAACACATTGATTTCTGTCAAGTCCATTAGGTCCATCATTTTCCAGGTGGCCTCTGAAACAGCCGTAATGTCGGCGCTCAATAAATGGATGAAAATGGTTTCATTTTGAAAGGCAGAGTCCTACATTTGCACCCGCTCTGGCACCTTTTTAGCTTTCTGCAAATGGATAATAGCCGCACCGCGCTGAATGTAACAGCGAGCGTCGTATTTCAGGGGCTTAATGGGAGACAGAGACCTGAGAGGGAGAGTTATTAGGATGACGCTGACGGAGACCTGAAGGATCAGAGGGGGACGAGAAGCTCGGCTGAATCCAACATGCAAGCCAGAGCCCACTTTGCTGTTTTAGCTTGCACATTTTCTGGTTAAATCCCCTCAATCCTTTGATTCAGTATGTTTTTTCTCAGTTTCTGAAATAACCAGCCTTGCTTCATACCGGTCAAGTTTTGGATTGAAAACAAGGGAAGTTTTACAGCGTCTGCTGGGAGTCTTCCAACTGTCCAAGTCTAGCTCCAGTATTCATTATTATATGATTACAAACTAATGCCGCCGTCTATGTTTAAGTTATCATTGGTTTTATTTTCATTTTGTGTTATTCTAGTTATCTTTTGGTTGTATTTGAGTTCTTATGTATTTCTTGTTTACTAGTGATGTTATGAGATGAGCTGAGGCTTCAAAATTGGTGACGTCCAAAGCCTCTCTACCATGATACCAGGTGACCGCTTCAGGAAGTGGTTCAGAAAGCGCAAGAACTTCCACTGGCATTTAAACAGCCTCAGTATTCAGTCAAGATGTGGGAGTTTGTAGGAGAGCTACTGTAAGTTGGATAGAGTTTGGATTAGATACATTCATTTCAATTCAGTTTATTTCTATAGCGTCAATTCACGTCATCTAAAGGCACTTTGCAGTTCAACCAGATCATCCAGTCAGGGTGATATAAAGTTTTCTATCTAAGGAAAACCAGTTGATTGCCTCGACTCATTGACTCGAATGCAATCCCTCACACCAAGCATGCTTATAGCGACAGTGGAGAGGAAAAACTCCCTTT